CCAGTGCACAAATTTTTGTGCACCGGGCCTCTAGTATATATATAAAAGCCCAAATGACTGTTACAATGGAACGACCGGTTGCTATGATGCGCATTGACCACCAGGGGGCAGATGCTCAATTCAGGAGCTGCCCTCGGCCGGCAGGCCCCATCACCCAATTAGGGCTGGGTCCTGGGCTGGGACGGGGAAACAGGGGTGGGTGGCGGCAGACACAGCCCTTTTCCCAGAGGGGCTGAGGGCCGGCTCCCTCGTTGCAGCCGGTGGCCAACCTCCCAGGCTCCTCCCCCCGGCCGGCAGGCCCCAACCACCCGATCAGGGTCAGGCCCCGGGCTGAGACGGGGAACCGGGGTGGGTGGCGGCGGATGAGGGCAGCGAGGGGAGGAGGAAGAGGGGAAGCAGGGAGGTGGGAAACCTGATCAGCCCTGATCGCCAACCAGGCCTAGGAACCCCCACCCGTGCATGGATTTCATGCACCGGGCCTCTAGTGAGAAATAATCAGCCAAGTGAGTGTGTGTGACCAGGCTAGGACATGTGTTTTTTAAATGAGCAGGATTTAGTTTTGAGTATGAAGTACTCTTCAGACCATTTATTGATAATTTACAAATGTAGTAACTTATGCATGGATATAATTTATTAACACAGGATAGTGACTACTTTGTATATGTAAAACACTTCTATGATTTTATGTCTTGTCTTTTTCTTATTCCTTAGTGACATCGACCAGCAGTACCTAAACTATATATTCAGGTAAAATATAATTTACATTTTCAAAGAGTAACTCATATATTTCTAGAGCTTATTTCCCAATAATGTGACTTAGGAATTCTGAGCCAACATGCCCCCACGGAGGCGAGCTGAGTGTCTGTGAGGGACCAGTCAGGACACCAACCAGCAGCCCTGCCTAGACCAGGTGGGAGGGAACCTGGACCAGGTGGGAGGGCCTCTGCCTGCCTACAATTCAGAGGCTCAGTCTCTCCCGGGAGTGTGGAGTCTGTAAGGCTAAGGGGACAATTTCCCTAGAGCCACAGCCTCCCTCTAGCCTGGGCCCTGGACTTCCCTCCCCGAGTGGTCCTGACCTTGATCCCAGGGCCTCCCTGGTCTGTCTTCCCAACTCACTCCCAGACCCAGTGGTGCCCGAGAGAAGGCTGTCGGTGGAAGGTGGTGGGTGGACTTGCAGGCTGAGGTGTCCACATGCAGTATGTGAGGTCCTCGGGGTGCAGGATGCAGCCTAAGGTGGAAGGGGCAATGGAGCCAGGAGCCAGGGCCGGGGCCGGGTCTCCCCATGGTGCCACCTCTGGCAGGGAGCTCCTGGGACTCCGAGATTCTAACTTTTAATCTGGCCCAGGTTGTTTTGAGGCTATAATCTCTGTTTATACCCCCCTCCTTGTTTTGCAGATGAAATTGTGTGAGTGTGCACACGTGTGTCTCTGTGTGCACGCACATGTATGTGTGTGCATGCATGTGTGTATGTGTGTGCATGTGTCTCTGTGTGCACGCACATGTATGTGTGTGCATGTGTGTGTGTGTGGTGTGTGTCCGTGTGAAAGGGGTGTGCACAGCTGTTCTCTCTGGGGTGTGACTTGTGAAACTGAAACAATGGATTGGAGCTCAGCCTGTGGAGCTGATCGTTTCTCCTGTTTCTCCATTGCATTTCCCATGAGTGCAGGAGCGTCTTCTCTCTTGTTTGCTGTGTCCCCAGATTAGAGCAGCATCTGGCACTTCCTAGGCACTCAGTAACGATTGCTGAGTGAATGGACTTAAAAGGTCTGCTGGTATCTGGCCTGATGGGTCTTGGGTAAAAAGTCTTATTTCTGACCTCTGACTGGACCCGCTGCCTGGGTGGCTGGAATGGAGAAGGACAGTACAGAGGTGGGCTCAGGCCCGGGAGGCGCTGTCCACGAGCCCAGGAGGCGGGAGAAGCTCCCAGAGAGGAAGGTGGGAGGGTGCCAGGAAGAATACGGCCTCAGCACAGAACACGCCTCCTCCTCCTCTTCCTCCTTTGGCATCGATTGCAAACCAGTCGAGGTAGTTTTCAGGCACGTGGTGGATGGGATGGGTCATTTTGTGGGCTGGCTTCTTGGACATTTAACTTCCCTGCTATGCAGTTAATTTTGTGGCAAAAATAGACTGAGCTCACGGTCCACAGCTACGGGTTAGCGCGCAGCCGGCTGGAATTCAGAGGCTGCTTCATGTGGCCGACACGGCTCTCTGTGGCGGAGGTGGGTGTGATGACAGTCTCTGGGCAGGCTCAACCCCGGGCCCAGCCTGCAGCACTTCAGGTGGGAGGGAACCTGGACCAGGAGGGAGGGCCCCTGTCCTGCCTACAGTTCAGGAGGCCTCACTGTCACCGAGGAGCTGGACTCAGGGAGGGAGCCCGTCCGTGAGGTCGCCTGCCCGGTCCACTGCTTCCGAGTGGAAGGGGGAGGGTGGGAAGGCGTGCTGTGCCCCGTGCGAGCTCCTTCCCTCGTGTTTCCTTTTCAGCGTGGCGCTCCTGGCAGCCGCAGCGCATCCCACAGGTAAGCTCACCCTGCGTGTGCGTGCCGTACGGTGTCTGTTCAGTGCAGGGCCTGACCCGCCGTGTCTCTGAGGACGTGTTGGCGGGAATGGGGAAGCCTTCCAGGGGGTCACGCCCAGGGTTAGAAATGGCCCGGAACCTTCCGGAGTCATCGCCCACACACTCATTCTCACCCCCTTCTTTAGTTAAACACACACATGTGATAAATGGAACAAAACAATCCACTTGATAAAACACACACAGCCCCCAGAGAGAGGGAATTCAGAACGTTTCTTCCAATCTAGACCGTAACCATTGGAAATCGTTTGGGTCTGGAAGGGCCGCAGGCCTTGGTCTTGTGTCCTGAAGTTCCCGATGAACGAGTGCCGTGACGAGGAACTGCTGTCTGTGCGGCCCATACACTCCCGTGCTGCTAATACTCGGCACACCGGCCC